ACCCAAGGGGGGCATTTATCAGTGTGGACAGAAATGTTCCAATAAAGAATCTTATTAATGTTACAAGCCCAGTAATATTGTTGAAAGTTGGGAAGTGCAAGTCCTCCTTTAGACTTGGGGAGCTGAAGAACTGATTTCTTGAGTCGCGCCGGTTTGTTTCCCCAGATAAATGAACGCAAAATACCATCAAATTTTGTAAAAAAAAGACTTATTAATGCAAATTGGAATATGTTGAAAAAGATAAAGGAATTTGGGTAAAATAACCATTTTAACTAGATTAATGCGACCCACAAGAGACAAAGGAAGTGAAGTCCATCTAGACATGTCTAACTTGGTTTTATCGACCAGCGGTTGAACATTCTTCTCAAATAGATGCTTAAATGAATTTGTGAAAGAAACCCCCAAGTATTTAAATCCACCTGAAGCTATCTTAAAGGGAAAAAGAGAGTATGAGAGCTTACTGGCCTCAGGGTTGACAAAAAATAGTTCACTTTTTTGCAAATTTATCTTGTAACCAGAGACACAGCTGAATTTGTCTAGAATGTCTAAAATTACTGGCAAGGAGGAGACAGGGTTAGAGATATACAGTAAAAGGTAATCAGCATAGAGAGAAAGTTTATGAACTAAGCCATAACGCGATATTCCCTCAAAACCATTGTGGCTGCGAAGCCAAATAGCTAGAGGCTCTATAGCGAGGTTAAAAAGTAAAGGGGAGAGGGGGCAGCCCTGACGTGTCCCGCGCTGTAGAGAAAAAAGGGGTGAATGCAAGCCATTAGTGTGTACAGAAGCAACCGGTGATGAATAAAGAAGTTGAATCCAAGAAATAAAATTAGCGTCAAACCCGAACTTCTCTAAAATAAAAAATAAATAAAACCATTCAACTCTGTCGAATGCCTTCTCGGCATCTAAAGACAGAATTATTTCCGGTGACTCAGATGGGGGAGAACAGAGAATATTAAGAAGCCTCCTAGTATTGAAGAACGAATGTCTCCCTGGTGTAAAACCTGTCTGATCTAGGCAAATTAAAGATGGTAGTACCAATTGAAGACGAGAGGATAAGACTTAAGCTAAAATCTTCAAATCAACATTAAGGAGTGATACTGGTCTATAACTGCCACATGCGGTGGGGTACTTATCTTTCTTAAGAAGCAGGGAAATGGAAGCCTCACATAAGGTCGGAGGGAGGTGGCCTTCCTTAAAATAATCATTGTATAGCCTTGCTAAGGTAGGGGTTAGTGAGTAGAGAAAAGATTAGTAAAACTCAGTTGTGAAGCCATCTGGGCCAAGGGACTTTCCAGATTGCATAGATTTAATCGCCTCTTGTATCTCCAACTCAGTGATTGGACCACCTAAATTGTTGGCATGGTCTTCATCAATTTTCGGAAAAGTTAGTGAGCTGAGAAAATCAAAGCTTGCTGAAGAATTTGAGGAGCTCTCTGACATATACAATGTAGCATAGTAGTCTAAAAACATAGAATTAATCCCCTTTTGATCTGATATCAATTCACCTGTTGTTGATTTGACTTTCGAAATCCACCTAGAGGCACTAGTCGTGCGAGCTTGGTGAGCCAAGAGCTTCCCCGCTTTGTCACCGTGTTCAAAAAAACGTTGCCTACATTGTCTAAGGTGCCTTGCTGTTATATTTGTCATTAGAAGATCATATTCTGCATGCAACTGTACCCGTTCAGAATAAAGGGGAGGGGAGGGGAGGGGGAGGAGGCATAAAGTGCATCTAACTTGTAAAGATCATCTGCAATAGTAGTAGTCTAGATGTTTCAGTCTTCCTTAAATGTGAAACATACGAGATTACCTGCCCACGAATACAAGCCTTGAAAGCCTCCCAAAGAGTGAGACTATTGATATCTGGAGTCTGATTAAGTTCAAAATATAAATTAATCTGAGAAGCAACAAAATCCTTAAATTTATTGTCTGATAATCTAGAAGAGTCAAATCTCCAAGTAGGAGGTAGACACAGGAGCATGATCGGAAATGACTACTGTGTGATATGTACATGTAGTAACAGAGTTTAACAATTTGTTATCCAGGAGAAAGAAATCAATCCTCGAGAATGTGTGATGAACGTGTGAAAAATACGAAAAAACTTTATCTTGAGGATGTTTAAGTCTCCAGGGGTCAGAGAGTCCCAACTGAGAGGCATATTCCGATATTACTTTGGCCGACTTGGATAAAACAGATTGCTTAAAAGAAGACCTATCAAGTGAAACATCCTGGACCAGATTGAAATCCCCCCCAATAATTATATGATGATCGTCCACATTTGGAAGGCTTAAGAAAAACTTAACAAAGAATTCGTCATTATCCCAGTTGGGGGCGTAAATTGAAACTAAAACGACAGGCACATTATGAAGCTTACCTGAGACCATCACAAAACGACCATTAGGGTCGGAAATGGTATGGGTCTCTTCAAACATGACCTTTCTGTGTATAATAATAGCAGCACCACGGGCTCTCTGAGAGAACCTGGAATGATACAATTGACCCATCCAGGCTCTCTTAATATGGAGCAGATCTGCAGTTCGCAAGTGCGTTTCCTACAAAAACATAATATCAGCCTTTAGGTGCTGTAAATGCAATAAAACCTTGCCGGCCTTGACACTATTATTCATTCCTTTGACATTCCAAGAGACTAGACGCAGTCTATGGCCTGTCATCGTAGTGACACTAGCCATTATATAAAATTAAGATCATAATAAAATCTTGATAAGGTCCATTCTGAAGGAAATGAGGATAAAGAGAATGCAAAAAGAGAGAGCAATGATAGAGAGAGAGAAAAAAAAGAAAAGAAAAAACCCCAATAAAGAACTTGCCTGAGCACTCAGGCTCGACATCTTATACACACTCCTATCTCACTAGGTCATTCTCCCCCGCGTTACCAAAAAATTAGAGCCTACACACACCCAGAAACAGAGCAAAACAAGAAGTCAGAAACATGACTTTAACCATACCTTACAGTAACGGAAGAAATAACCAAGCAAAGAAGAAAAAAATAAAAAATAAAAACAATATAGCCCATATATATATAGGCTATATTATTATATATATATACATATACATAAGAACCAGACAAATAACCACATGACCTTGTATATGTCCTATTATTGCCATGCAAGTGAGCTGCTGGTTTCCTGTCAAAGGTTAAACCAGAATGTTGACTAAGCAAGGCACTTAAGGTGAAATAGAAAAAATGAACAGCCTTTCAAAGAGGCATACATTAAACACAAAATAAAGCATTAAGATCAAAGTTGACATGGCCACTTAGCACTTAACCAGTGATCTAGTCCAGGTCAGTTACGAAACACAAATTACACAGTAGTACTGTCATAATATAAGTGCAATATAGTATTTATATACATGCAGTAAATGGCCAACTAAAAATGAATAAGTAGGTACCAATGCATTAGTTGAAAAAAAAGAAAGAAAAAAGAGAAAAGAAAGAAACAGCCAGCAAAACTGCAAATATCTACGTATGAAACACACATTGAACTTGATATGAAACATGAAATTCAAAGTTATTGTGGCCACATATCCAGTGGCCTAGACCAGATCAAGCACTTGGTCCAACATAATATTAGTATAAGTGCAGTGAATGGCCCACTTTCAAACTAAGTCAGTAAGTCCAAATGTTCTCGTGAAAGTTACAAACAAAGCAAACAAGCGCAAAAATAAACCATATGAATATAACATATGTGCACCCATTTACATATAAGCCAGAACACAATCTATGCAGCCCATGTGTTTGAAATGTGCAACTGACAGTCAGAGGTTAAAGTGAAAAGGAAAAGGATATATGGGACGAATCGCATCACAAAGGAGAGTCCGCTCGGGCAGAAGCCACGTACTCTTCAGCCTCAGTCACCGACGAGAACGACCTCTTACTCCCATCTATGGTCCTGATGGACAGCCTCGCAGGGAAAAGTAGAGTTGGTCTAAGCCCCAGGTTATACAGATCCGTCATCACCTGCCGATATTTAGACCGTTGTGCCATCACTTCGGGCGCATAGTCCTCGTATATAGCAATGGGGTTACCTTGGAACATCAACTTGCCTCTTTTAACTCGAGCTTCGCGAATAATCCGCTCTTTTTGCTGAGAGCGGTGAATCCGGATGATGACAGCGCGTGGCTTTTCTCCGGCCGCGGGTTTGTTGACGAGAGCTCTATGGGCCCGATCGATCTCCGGTGGAGAAGGTAAAACATCCTCTCCCATGACGTCAAACAAGAGCTGAGAAAAGTAGGCAGAAGGACGGGGTCCCTCAATCGATTCCGGTAGACCAACTATGCGAATGTTATTACGGGGGCTGCGAGATTCAAGATCCGAAACTTTAGCTAGCAGCTTAGCGTTGCTGCCAGACAGTGCGGTACAAGTCGCTTCCAGCGCGAGCACGAGTTCATCCAGAGCATTAGCACTGGACTCAAGAGAAGCAATCTTGTAGGAATGGTCAGATACCGCTGATTGAACGCAGTCTATCTTGGTCTCGAGTGAGGATATGGACGACTTAAATTCGGACAAGAGGGCCTGGCGATGTTTATCCAACAGTTTAGCAATCCCCGTCATATTGAGCTCGCCAGAATCGCCGTCAGCGAGGTCCGTTTTGGTTTCTTTTCTGCTTTGCTTACTCGATTTGGAGGTCATGTTAACGAAGGGGTATAAGTTTCATCCGTGTGAACCGTTTAAAACTGAAATAAACGTGTAGATTGGCTCAAACGAAACAGTAAAAGCGGGAGGAACACGCAAACACGTCTACTCCATCTGCCTTCCAGAAGTCGACCTATCCATTGTCGTTTATTATTAATATTATTATTATTACTATTATTATTATCATCAATATTACCATTGTCAATGCTGTATTGGAATTAAGTGTTTATTGTCATCACTACTGCAATAATTTCCCCCTTATCTTTTCATGTGTTTTTAATGCACCACAACGTAGAATAGGGAAGGAGCAAAAAATAAATACATAGTATGGATAACCTCACAAACACCTAAGCAAGCAAAACAGGTGAGAAGTGGTTTCAATGGGACAGCATCTCTGTCCCAAGTTGAGACACTCTCACACTGTACTCCCTCTTTTAATGCACTTTAGACATTGCACATAACACACACACAAAAAAACAAAAAAAATAATTGTAACAGGGCGAACATCCACCATCTATAATCAATGGGGAAGTAGCTCCGCTCAAGTTATTCAATTAAATGAAAGTACAGGCTCTGGTGAGGTACACGGTCTTTTTATTTCTTTAAAAGAAAACATATATAAACATTAATTCAACAAATACCAAACAAAATAATACACGAATAATAACAAAATAAAGGGAAAAATAAGAAAACAAAAGTACACTATAAATACACGGACAAAAAGAAAATCAACTAAAGAAAAAGAAACAAATAAGCAATACTATATTCACATGACAAAACCAACCAAAACGAATCCAAACAAACAGTTGTAAATAAACCATAAATACTGGGAAAAAAACAGTGGTCTAGTGCACCATCAGCTGCCAGATGAATCTGCCAAAACATAATACACATTCAGCACATCTACATTTATACACTATTAAAATATACAAATAACAGTTGGACCATACATTTCATTTATACGTCTTTCTATAAAATATAAAACCACATAAATCATCTCATTACCTCCACAGTGTGTCCTATCTTATACTGAACACATCATCACAAGTCACGAATGCGATGCCCAGCTTGTTAGGTTACTACAACACATACAAACATACATGCTCAAGAACAACAATACTCTGCTTTTTGCGCATAATAAAGTTAAACGACCTACCCGGAAATTGTCAGCAACATGAACAGGGGAAAATGAACGGTATGATACGTACAGCTCCCCGTGAATGACCGCGATGCCAGGTTTATTACTACAACACATCCAAAACACACATACTCAAGAACAAACAATACTCTGCTTTCTACACATAATAAATCAAGCGACCTACCCGGAAATTGTCAGCAACATGAACAGGGGAAAATGAACGTTATGATACGTACAGCTCCCAGTGAATGACCGCGATGCCAGGTTTGTTACTACAACACATCCAAAACACACATACTCAAAAACAAACAATACTCTGCTTTCTACACATAATAAATCAAACGACCTACCCGGGGATTATTAGCAACATGAACAGGTAAGCGGTACCCTCAGCGTGCAGCTGCTCTTCACGCTTGCAACAATGCCACGCCAAACAAACATGTGCGTGTCTCCCACAAGGGGGTAATCCATCGACCGGAAGTTGAAGCCGGCCGGGTGCCGCCATGTTGTAGCAGAACTTCACTTGCGTTAGCATTTCCATTGACTCCCATTCATTTTGGCGTCACTTTGACAGCCAATAACTTTACATCTGAGGCGTTTAAAGACTCCATTTGGCCATTATTTATTTCTAAAGAAACACGACAATGTATAAAGGGCTCCATTACCTTCTATGTTACATTATGGGCCCGTAGAAACAGATTTAGTAAAAATAGGCTAACGATTGCGTCATAACCACTCGACTCTCTGTCGCGCTGTACAGAAATTACCGTACAGACAGGAGGAGAAGCTCGCAGGCAATCGGGGGGACGTCCCGTCAAGGGAGAAGCCCATAGATAATGAGTCCATAAAAGCAACGGAATACTTACTCCTGCTCACTCACGCCAAAGAACTCTTTGCTCAAGTTCCCCGTCTCTGCAAGATTAACGTTGGCAATTTTCACGCACAGCTACTAGAAGATTAACGTCTGTCAGACAGGTTGCTCACGTCATCAAGCTTAGTTTGAGTCGGTTTGAGTCTGCGCGTCAGGAACGGAAGTGCTCAAAAATCGCTAAAAATGGGCTTCAACTGTCTCAACTGAGTTCCAATGAGATGGCTCTGTCCACTTCTTATACTGTCTATGGTCTCCCACACCATTGTGCCACTCCCCCTTTTAACTCGCTTAGGCGGAAATGACACTGGACGCATTCTGCCGTGACGTCAGTCACAATAGTAAAAATATTATAGGCACTGACAACCCACTACATAATAATAATTGAGGAGAAGATAGGGACTGAAGAGATGTGGGGGAAGGTTATCTTATATTATCTTATTATGCCATCTTCTATCTTAGACAGTGTTGACAATCGCAATTGTTACATAGGAGGAAGGATGGAAATAAAAATCGACTAATACAATATTGGCAGTGTGGTGGTAGTGGGGAGTGGAGGTGGTGATGGTAATGACGATGGTAATAAATAATAAATGGTTACTTTGTTTACGCATACACACACATACACATACCCACACCCACACACACCCACCCACACACACTCATAGATCAACACTTTTATGTCATTTGTGGAATTATGGAATTACAAGATTGTGCACTCTACTGCACTATGTTGGTTTGTATGTCTGACTGTTAAATAAATAAAAAATAATAATAATAAAATAAAAAAAGTCGTATAATCAATATTTGCATATGATTTAACAGTTTATTGTCATAAATATCACAAATCTAAAAGGTGTGCATCAGAGACCTGGGTGAACAATGTACAGTTGGTTTTATGACTGTAAGTCATTGTCTTCAAATGCTATTGAAGTTGGAAACGTTTATGCCAATGTCGCATGTAATTTTGAGACGGTCCCTAAAATGCGAATATCGAACGTCCAACGTCAAACCAACTTCATGCCAGTGCAAAAGTGCGACAAAAAAGCCCATTCAATTTAAGAATGCGCTTCAGGTGTCTTTCACTTATAACGTACCCATGTCTTAATACCAAAGACCGCACTATATATTTATATGACATTCCTAATTTAAAGTAAAATGTTATTTCTTCTGTCATCTCCATCTCTGCTGTAGCCCAGTCTATGCTATGGTACGGTTACAGTATTGGCCGCTGTGGCTTCCTCAACATAACTCGTGGCCACGACAAATAGATGTCGTTCTCTCAAAATATGAAGTCGTGGCCACGAGAAAAATATATCGTTCCCTCAACATATGATCTCGAGGCTACGACTTTGCATCGCGTGGCCACGACATAATGATGTCGTTACCTCAATAAAATGATCTCGTGGCCACGACTTATAATCACGTTCCCACGACTTAATATGACTTTCCCACGACTTAATATCACGTTCCCACAAGTTTATATGTTGTGGCCACGACAAAAATAAGTGAACCGCACATGTCCCCTCCCGGTCACCGTAGGTTACATATTCATGGTTTGAGATTTAATTTGTTGTTGGCATAGTATTGTACAGCATTTGTTAAATTTTCTGACCATGAGAATTGCATTAATTGTATTTTATCTCACCTATAGGAGCACATAACGATATTTTGATATTTCAGAGGAAAAAACTAATTTTATTTAAATAAATCATTTTAGTTTTTTCAGTCTATCATATAATTGTTGTGTATGGTCTATGAAAAAAATTGTTGGTTGAGTATTAATTATTTTCAATTAAATCATATGTTGCACCAATTGCACCAATCATATGTTGCACCAATTGCACCAATTAGATTAAAAAAGGTTAGAGAAAAAAAACTAAAGCACCATGGTACAATAGTACTACACATGCTATCAAGAGAGAAACTCGTAACTTAGAGCGTAAATGGAAACAAACTAATTTAGAGGTCTTTAGAATCGTGTGGAAAGACAGTGTGTCACGTTATAAAAAGGCTCTAAAAGCAGCCAGGGCTGAGCATCTCCGCAAACTAATAGAAAATAACAAAAATAATCCAAGGTTTTTATTTAACACCGTGGCTAGACTAACAAATAAACAGACATCGCCAGAGCAAAATATTCCGTTACAGTATAGTTGTAATGATTTTATGAATTACTTCAATGAGAAAATAGAAAGCATCCGAAATACAATTGTAAATGTACAATCCTCTATGGTGTCTTGTGATTCAGCCTCAATTATCGCCCCTCAAGAACAACTACACCGCTTTACAACTGTAGGACAGGAAGAGCTAAATAAACTTATCATTGCATCTAAACCAACAACATGTTTATTAGATCCAATACCCACTAAACTACTGAAAGAAGTGTTACCTGTAGTGGAAGAGCCTCTTCTCAATATTATTAACTCGTCTTTATTCTTAGGTCATGTTCCAAAAATATTCAAGCTGGCAGTTATAAAACCTCTTATTAAGAAACCGCAATTAGATCAAAATAACTTAGCAAATTACAGACCCATTTCAAATCTTCCATTTATGTCTAAAATACTAGAAAAAATTGTGTCCGCTCAATTGTGCTCTTTCTTGCAAGAAAATGAGATATATGAAAAATTTCAGTCAGGATTCAGACCGCATCATAGCACAGAAACTGCGCTAGTTAAAATTACAAATGATTTACTTTTAGCTTCTGACCAAGGCTGTATCTCAATACTAGTTCTACTCGATCTTAGCGCTGCGTTCGACACTATAGATCACAAAATACTCTTGGATCGACTACAAAACTACACTGGTGTTCAGGGACAGGCATTAAGCTGGTTCAGATCGTACTTATCGGACCGTTACCATTTTGTTTGTTTAAATGGGGAAAAATCGAAGATAACGTCAGTAGACTATGGAGTGCCGCAAGGATCGGTGTTAGGCCCTCTGCTATTCTCAATATATATGCTGCCACTTGGTAATATTATAAGAAAACATGGAATTAATTTCCACTGCTATGCTGATGACACTCAATTATATATTTCATCACGACCAGATGAAAACACTAACTTATCTAAATTGACAGAATGTCTTAAAGATATAAAATGCTGGATGACGTGTAATTTCCTGCTATTAAATCCAGATAAAACGGAGGTATTACTTATTGGTCCAAAAAACTACCCACAAAATCTCTTACAATACAACTTTAATTTAGAAGGATGTCCTGTTACCTTATCGACTACAGTAAAAGACCTGGGTGTTATACTAGACCGCAACTTGTCTTTCGAAAATCATATTTCATATGTTACAAGAACTGCCTTTTTCCACCTTAGAAACATTGCTAAATTACGTAACATGCTATCTGTTTCTGATGCAGAAAAGTTAGTTCATGCATTCATGACCTCGAGACTAGATTACTGTAATGCTTTATTAGCTGGTTGTCCTGCATCCTCAATAAACAAGCTACAGTTAGTGCAAAATGCAGCCGCTAGAGTTCTTACTAGGTCAAGAAAATATGATCATATAACACCGATTCTATCATCTCTGCACTGGTTACCTATTAAGTTCCGTATCAATTACAAAGTACTACTACTGACCTATAAAGCCCTAAATGGTTTAGCTCCTGTGTATTTAATGGACCTTCTATCGCCCTACAATCCATCGCGTTCTTTAAGATCACTAAATTCGAGGCTTCTGGTCATTCCTAGGATATCTAAGTCCACTAAAGGAGGGAGGGCGTTCTCACATTTAGCTCCTAAACTCTGGAATAGCCTTCCTGATACTGTTCGTGGCTCAGACTCGCTCTCCCAGTTCAAAACTAGATTAAAGACGCATCTCTTTAGCCAAGCATTCACATAATGCTTACCTTCTATTGTTGAATCAGATCGAATGCACTAATATTATGAACAGCAGCTACGCTAATTATTTCCCATCTGCTTTTCTGCTGTTATCTGCTGGTAAATAGCGTTCGTCAGCTCCAGTTTGTATCCAGACTCTCACGGAGACTTCAGATGCCCCAACACCTGCGATGAGACGACTCGACGCCTGTGAAGAGACGACTCAACGCCGGCGATATGTTATGCCCTAAATTAGTACATGATGACTAACTAACTATATTCTTCTATGTACATTTCTGAAATGCACTTTCTGTAAAGCTGCTTTGAAACAATATGTATTGTGAAAAGCGCTATACAAATAAATTTGAATTGAATTGAATTGAATGTTCAAATGCTCAAGCTTTGTTTTCATTGTTTTTTTTTTGTTTTTTTTTTAAGCTTTGTTCAATTTATACTGTTAAAGGGATACTCCACCAGTTTTTCTTATTAAACTATGTTATTCCCTTAACTAAGACGAGTTGATACATACCTCTCTCGTCTCAGTGCGTGCACTATATCGCTCTGTATTGCCGCAAAACTATGTTAGCACTTAGCTTAGCCCATGCATTAAATATGGGCCAAGCAGAGAAGCGACCAAACACTTCCACGTTTTCCCTATGTAAACACAGTTACTCGAGTAGTGTAACTTGACCTGGGCTGGTGACACAAAATAAACCGTTGCGCTTTTCTAAGCGTTTAAAATTGATGACTATATTGTATGGCGGAATACCATAACAAGTGCTTTTGAGCACTTCGACTTGGCGCAATAATATCTTCACTTGTGAAAAGTCCTTACCGGCTCCCGCTTCCTCTCCCCCTCCCTCTGACATTTCCGTCAATACAACCAACGTGACATGCGCCGGTAGTAGTAGTTCGAGCGGAGTTGACGAAGTAACAGGTTGTTGGAAGCTAGTTTGTGTACAATAATGGTTAAAGCGTGCATCGTAAAGGGTTGTGAAAATAAGGAGAATGTAGTGCTGTCATTTTTCACCGAATTCCAACACACCACATACAGCGGAGAGCTTGGTTAGCTGCTTTGAACAAGAATCCCAAAACACCATTGATGACTCTGAAGAAGTGGCGTGTTTGCTCCGAACATTTCACAAAGGAGGACTATACCTGCACAGGAACACGCCTAAAGGATGAGGCTACACCAACAATATTCAGATCACTTACAGAAAGCCCGTGGTCTTTCGCCAGCTCCGGTCTGTTCTGGATCATATCTTTCTTGCCTCTCACGGTCCATAAGAGCTAATTCCTCCTCCGTGTACTCGGGTTCAAACAGATATGGCTCTGGCCTGGGTCTTCTACAAAGAAGTCATAATCATCTACAAAGTCCGCCATTGCAAATGATCTGCAGTTTGCTAATAGCACAGGTAGTAAAAGTCACGTTGGTTGTATTGACGGAAATGTCAGAGGGAGGGGGAGAGGAAGCGGGAGCCGGTAAGAGGACTTTTCACAAGTGAAGATATTATTGCGCCAAGTCGAAGTGCTCAAAAGCACTTGTTATGGTATTCCGCCATACAATATAGTCATCAATTTTAAACGCTTAGAAAAGCGCAACGGTCTATTTTGTGTCACCAGCCCAGGTCAAGTTACACTACTCGAGTAACTGTGTTTACATAGGGAAAACGTGGAAGTGTTTGGTCGCTTCTCTGCTTGGCCCATATTTAATGCATGGGCTAAGCTAAGTGCTAACATAGTTT